GAACAAGGCAATTTCATACATCTTTGATACTTTCAGGACTTTCCAAACCCCAGCCACACATACATGCATATACTAAACTTTTGTCAGTTCTCTTTTAATTTTAAGATGGTTCTAAAGAATTATGAAATGAGTGACTTATGGAAGAAGTTTCAGAAGAAAAAAAAAGATGGAAAAAATGCTTCTCTTAATCTTAAAAACTTCTTTGGTTCTTTTGTTTTCTATATTCCTCTCTTATGTTCTGTTGGGCAACTCTTGTCTTCATGATAAATGTTTCGAATTATGAATCCATGAAGCTTGAAATGGTGGAGTGTACATTTTGTTTATTCAAATTTTCAATCAGATTGCAAGTTGTATGACTTTAACAATGCTACTGTAAAAAGGACACAGCATGAGGAATATAAGATAATGAATACTAAAAATAAATGCAAAGCCCAATCTATAAATCAATTCACCATTTGTCACTAAGTTATACTGTAACCCTGGACAAGGGTAAATCAAGAAAACAAGACTAAGCTTGTTACAGTGATGAAGTATATATTGTATGTATGGTGTTCTGATTTGTCTTTTACTCACTACAGGGAACTTATGTGTGTATAGTATTTGAAGTACATGTGGCATCAATGCTACAGATTTACTCTTCAAAATTACTCAACAGTTTAAAATACTAAAAATAAATATGCACTACAAGAAGCTTAGTCTTTATCTTTTGACTCAAACTTGTCCTAGGTTACTGATGAGGGGTGGAATTCCTCAAAACTAATATAACTCAGTGACAAATGATGAATCAAATGATAGGCTTCAAATTTGTTTTTAGTATTTTAAACAGCTTAATAATTCAGAAAAATAGATTATTAGCATCAAGGCAACATATTCATCAAATGCTATACACAGGTTTTCTGTAGAGCTAATGAAGTTTTAAACAGAACTTAAAATTTTACAAATATTTCATTCTTGACCAATCCCTTCAATCTTTAACACCGCAAGTTTTATCCCCCAATTTATATATACAAACCAAAATATTTCTCACAAAATTTTCAGTTACAAATTATAGTCTTTGGTTGATAACATGTCATGCAACTAATGACAAACATAAATACAAAAAGCTCTTAAGTTTCAAATCTGAAAACTATTGTACCTTGTAAATGGGTATTTAATATTCAAGAAAGTAAACTATTTTCTTTAGATATAAATATCACATTTGTTCCCATTAATTCAAAATATTTCCTTCACAAATATCACAGTAACTTTTCCCATATTCTACACACTTTTCATTTAGCAGTAGTAAAGCTATCTAAAGTGATTTCTACAATAGTTAAAAATATTTACAGGTACTTATGCCCTCACATTATCAGCAGACATCAAATGAGCTTACAATATTCATAGTTTTCTAAAATGAAGGTTCATATAGTTTTCTTATGGAATAGAAGGCCCAAAAGGTGTTAATATCTGCACTTATCCCATGTAGTCATAAAACCTATATAACATGCTTAATATATATGTACTTATAAAATGAATATGATGATTACAACTCTTACACCACTCTAGTTTCAAACCTAAGAAATGTCAAAAAAGTTTCCACAGCATTACATTCAAACAGTTTATGTATCAGCAGAAAATAAAGGTGTTCACACAATATTTCCTAACTATTTTTACAATACATTATTATTCAAATACATGAACTATCAACAACTAATATCAGAATTATCATTCCACTTTTCAGAAATTGTAAGTTTCATACCCTTGGTAATTTACTTATACCTAAACCACTACTTATTCACTTAACTTGATGCTTCTTTTTGTAATCAATCAATATAGGATTCTTGTCCCTTATAATCAAAATTGGTGGCATTAATAACTTCCATTAAGCAATATGAGAGAGCAAAATATAAAAACATTTTCACAAAAAAGTAACAGTTCCTCTTTCAAAAAATTTGCTTATGTCACTTTCTAAACCACATAGATATTATATTAAAGACTCAAATTACATGTATTAAAAAGTACAAGTTAAGTCATGATTAGGTGCAGCACTTAAAATTCCTTGAATTCTGTTCTCACTGAAGTAAATTTATTACTGACAGATCCTATCGAATAAAAAACTATTGCATTGTATTATCTCATCTGAAATGGCACCATTTTAAATGAATTATGTAAAGTTTATAATATGCATACTAATATCATTTTAGTTAACATTAACAAAGAGATTTGCACACTTTTACTTTCACCATATTTGCAAGCTCACAAAGAAAATGGACATCTCCTAAGTACTGGCAATATTTGTTACAGAAAAATTTACAAAATGAGGTAAACCACAATGAATGGAACTTGATACACAACTGTAAATTTCAAGAGTGATTTAGAAAATGTAGTAAACATGTAAAGTTGATTATGTCATATTCAGAGAGGCCATAAAGAGTAAAAATTTTGTGAGCAGCCTTGATGACATGTTTGTGATTAAATGTGGAAACTAGAACTAAATAGTATCTACATGAACCCATTAAAAACAGGCTGAATAAAAAGACATTTTATATATTAAAGATGGGTTAAAAAAATTACAAACCAAAACTACAGATTTCTCAAGCAAACATGTTATTGAAGTAACTGCTAAGAATAAGTAAAGACAAAAAAAAGGTGCCTTTTCACATACCAAGAACAAAGAGGGATGAAACTTACTGAAGGCAAGTTTAACATTGATGCCAAAAGGAAATAATAACGCTCTTAAGTGACAGTCTAGGATATTCAACTCTACCTGCTTTAGAATTAATCTTAGTTTAACATATCTAAGAAAACCATGTGATTGATAGAATTATAAACTTGATGAAGTCAGTAAAAAAAAATAAAAAATCTGTGGTTATTTCCTAAGGGTTGTTTTAGCTCAGTCATTTAAACGGATCAACATAAATTTAACCCTTTGTTACCATCATGGGTATAATATGTACCAAATGTTTTTTGCATAAAGTTATGTTTAGTACCAGAAGGTGTACATTGGTTAAGCACCTTATCACAACTAATTAAAAATCAATCATTAGGCTATTTTGTTCACATACCATAGAAACATTATCAAAACAATCAAGAAAGGCATACAAAAATCATATTTGCCATATACATTAGTTTGACTTCTTAGCAAAGGAAGTTAAATGTTATTATTCATTAATATCTACAAAGGCCAGTGAGTTATAAAACCAGCCAAATAAGTACGTAATAAAGAAGAACTGAATAAAAACCCAAGCTGTCCCAAGGATGGGGTTCAACAAGTTGAGGAGAGTCTAATGGAAATATCAAAATATATAAGAACAATAACAAAAAACAATGATCTACATACTGACTGGAAGTGAGACATGTATTAAGAATGAGCATCCCACCTAAGATATCTCTAATGCCATGTAAGAGATGAAACAGACAGGCAACAAAGATAAATGAATAAAGTCACGTGTGGGTTCATCCCCATGCTAGCCTCAAGGATCTAAACCAAAAGTCTATGAAAATAAGAAGCAAAAGAATGAGATAGTTGAAGAACCTAATATGACAAAATATGAAAGAACAATCATCCCCTAAGCAACTGAAGTGTGAGGAAGAAAGGTCTGGTCTGTACAAGTAAGTACAATGAAAGAGAGTGCAAGAAGCATGGATGACATAAACATCTGAAAAACAACAGCCATAGATGAGAAGAAGAAGATGTTTTCAGAGAAAGATAGAATAAAAAATGTGATGTCAACAGCTTGATTGGAGCCTGTAAGTGTAAAAACTACAAGTGGGTTGGTGAAGAAGGAAGGTCCAGAACAAATTGGAGAGAACAGAAGAAGCAAAACCAGATAGCAACAAAAAAGGTAAAATGTAGGAAATAAAGCTTCTCAAAAACCAGCAATAGGGGAAACAGGCAATCTATGGTCAAACCATGTGAAAAAGGCTGAAGGTGGGACACAATAGGATGGCCCAGACTAAGGAAGAGGTGAGGGACTAATGTCAATAAACCCAATACTACAAGCGAGTCCAGCCCCATAGTTAATGGACCAGACAAATCTTGCATGTGAATAGAAAGGAACAATGTCTGGCAGAGATAGAGAGATGTGGTAGAACCAAGAGAGTGGGAATGGGGCAGATGAAGAGTGGGTCTGGATACCAACTGATAGAGCAAAGGAAGTTGGGGCTGTTCCAGCCAAAGAGGAGCCATCAATAGGATCTGACAAGGAGTATCAAGTATCAAAGTGAGGACATGATGGAAAAGACAAGGAGGAAGATAGGCATATACATAAAAAGATGAGACTAGTCCTGGCTGAAAGCACTGACTGACCAGGTCAAAGAATGAGAAACTGGAAATCATAAGAGGGGAAGAAAGGTGATGAAATTGGAGAAAGCACTGATGAGATGAATGCTCAATAGAGACCAAATCCAACAAAAAAAACCAAGGGTGGAAAGACCATTGCATGGTTAAAATGCTGTTCTTCCAAGACAGGCAAACAGCTACCAAGTACAAAGTCCCAGGCACACAACTAGCCATGAGACAAACCTGGTAGGAACAAGCCCAAAATAGCAGGTCCAATGCATAGAAGCAAAGAGGTCTGAACAAGAAGGTTGTATCACCCTCCCACTGGTGGAGGGCTATCATGACATGATGTTATCATGCACTAGTGCAGTTCATGTCAAACATGGGATTTTTAGGTAGGAGTTAGCTCAAGGATAGTGGCATGCAAAACTCATACACAGACGTGTGAGGAATGAAGTTATTCCATTTGTAGAGGTGAGGTATCATCTAGGAAACACTAATTATGGTTAATTGATTATTTTATGTGACTATAACCATTGCTCATAGGAAACAGAGTTAATCACCCAGCTCTAAATATGACTATAATGGACTACTAAAATTATCAATTGTCAATCAATCAAATTCCTTATCAAAACTTCCTAAAACAATTCTGTTATCTTTTACTTTTATAAAATGGACATAAAAAAGTGCACAATTATTTTAATATAATCACATATGAAATATCAAAATCATTACTTACTAATTATACTTTTAGTCCATGCAGCGCACTCCAATAATTCTCTATAAAAGAAAATGATTTTTTAAGTTTCTTCATAAATACATATATAGTAACAACATATACAGGAAATCAGACAAAACAATGAAAAAACCTGCTCCATGTACTTTCAACAGGCAATGAGAATTTCCTACATGTAAATATTGACCACCTGACACATAACATGCAGCATTATACGAATTTTCTAGTGTGTGTGTGTGTGTGTGTGTGTGTGTGTACAGAGATAGCCATCTATCAAAAATACATTTTCAGTGTAGGAAATGTTAACTTTCAACACAATTCCTTACCACTTCTCACAAAATAGCTAGAATTCCACATTGAAACTGTGGAGGGGCTGGTGCCAAAGCTACCTAAATCAGGACTCTTCAGAAGGTGCCCAAAGAGAATCCATGGAGTGTGATACCTTAATGTATAAGGATCACATCCATGGTAGATTGCACCCCATCTGTACCAGGTAGAATCTTCACCCATTAAACAGTACATGTTGCTAAATCAGGGAGAAAGATGCTGTACAATTTGTAAGTGGATGTACCAGATGGTATAGAGTGGCTAAGGCATGTCAGACCATATTCATTGGGCCAACTCCACTCCATAACCAGGAGGCATCAGGTTTTTTCATCCAGTCCATGGTAGGAGAAGGGACACAACCATCTTTACCTCAATCCTAGGAATCAGGTGGGAAGATCAATTTTCGTTACAACAACCATAGCAGGTGTATAGACCCAGTACACCACCAACACCAGGCCTCCCAGGAACCCGATATCCAGGCAACAGTAGAAAAGGGGATGCAAGAGTGGCAGGTCAACTCTAGTCCAAAACCTGGCAGAGTCAGAAATTTTTCACCCCATCCACTGCAGGAGGAGGGTCCCTACCAACCAAATGTGTAAGGACTTATGTTGGCTGGTCCTATACCAATCCAACACTAGATCACCCAGAACTGACATCCAGGCAGCTGTAGGATGTAAGACAGTGCAATAGGCGACCAAGAAAACCCTATTTTCAAAAGCAAGCCGGTGCCAATTTATTCAACCAGGATTGAAGTGATAAGCAGCAATCCTGATTCTGCTTTATTAATGATAGTCTACAAGTTGGTACATTCTGGTTCAGGCCTTATTTATAAATCAAGCTACTGCAAGACAACTGTGAGCAGTCTTGTGGAACACTCCATCTCACAAGTGAGTGTTCTAGACCTACACAGCTTTGTGGTGCAGATTTATGTCGAAGTATATCTGGACAGGTACCACTCATCACAGAGTGGGATCCAGGCAATGAGAAAAGAGGCCACTGCAATGGTAAGAAATAAAGAGAAAGAAATTACCCTCTCACAGATGAAATGAGGTGTGTAGAATGGCAATGTGAGACAAGCAGAAGCCAGTTGAGGAGGAGGCAGTCAAATGATGCAAGCAGAGAGATATAAACGTGTGAAGTGTGGTCAACATACCAGACTTTACAATCTCCTCTAATGGGCTACGGAAGTGGGCAGCTAGGGAGAGGGTAAGGTGGCATATTTGGTGGGAGGAGACTTAGAAAATGTTATGAGAACCCTCAGATAATGATGCATAAGCAAGCCAAATAACTTGGCACAGCCAACCAGTAAGGATGACAGGAGAAAGGTCACAGGCAGAGGAAGTATACCAAAGTATAAATAGGTGGGAATGGGATCCACAGAAGGAAGCAGTGCGATCAAGATTGGAATGGGAATACAAATGAGATATGGAAGAATAGAAAATAGTCATGAATGTGATGTCCCCTTCACATGCTGCTGATGTTTTGGGGAAAAACAACTACTATTCAGATAAAGGAGTACATAAGTGTAATGATAAAGGATATGGGAGACATTGATAGCAAAGAAGACCTAAGTAGTCTCCAGGCAAAAAGGAGCTAAAAATACATCTTTAAAGACAAGTGTACAACAAACAGGTGGCCAAAGGTTCAAATGAACAAAGGATAAGGGCATGAAGACCACACTGAGATTCTAGTCAAGCAAAGGTATCAGATGAGGTGAATGAATCAAACGAAAGGTGCAAAACAGGAGAGAATGGATGGGAGAGGAAAGAATGTGATGGGAGAGAGAGGAACAAATGGTATTAGATAAGGCCAACCAATATCTAGCAATGGCAGAAACTGATAGTCCATTTTCAAATAGTCAAGTAATGAAAACCAAAAACTGGGCCTAGAATAGGAGATCCAATGTTTCAAAGCAAATGAATGTGAACAGGTGCTCCCTTTGAATTCCCAACTGAACCTGAATCCTGCCACACACATACACCAGGCAAAAATTCTACCAACTGAGCTAAAGGGTTTACCCACTAGCAGTTGCTAACAAGTTACTTTATAGCAACTCAAGCTACCACATGCTGACCTCAATAATGCTCAGAAGTTAATGCTATATAAATATAAACAACACCTGTGAAAAAGAACATCACATTTCTACATGTTTGATTTCTAATGAGAATAGTGAAAAATTTCAAAGAGAAAAACTGTAGTGAGAGAATCTATCAGTAAAATATTAATGTTAACATCCAGAGGCACAAAGTGAATGCCCACTGAAGTGTGAGGAAGGACTCCATGGTGAACCAATGGAGGTTGATGAAACAGTTGAGGTTGGATAGGACTGTAGTAGGATGCCAATCCCCAGTCTTTTTTGAGAAGTGCAAACAGTCAGGAATAAAAATCCATAGAAGGGTGATGTATTCGTTCAATATCGCCCCTGCGTATAAGATCTTGAACCACTTCTGAGACATGCTGGTAAGAAATGGGATCCTGTGGAAGAGAGAAGGAAATGGGACAAATGAATAATGGTGGTGGTGGAGAAAAAATGAAGGGAAAGTCCTTCTAAAAGAACCTGAATAACCCAAGGATCTTTGGTGAATGGACTTTACAGTCACAGATAAATAAACCTGGCCAACCTACAGTGCCAAATCTTAGAGTATAGTCACCCATTCAATTGGCATCAGAAAACATGGCGATGAGCAACTTGGAGGCTCACCACAAAAGCCGATATTCTATTTGCCCTATATGGCAGAGGAGAGATATGGAAATTGAAGCAGAAGAGGGTTGGACAAGACGGGAAACTGAGGAAGTAAGGAAGGAATGTTGGCATGCAGCCTCCACCCTAAACTACAAAGTATCAGGAAAATCTCCATATACCGCCTGATGCAAAAAGAGAGCCAAACAGAGGTCCCTTAAACAGGAAGCAGGAAGAAACACGTTTGACAAGAGGGCATACCTGCCAAGAAGATCCCAACAACAAAGGAGCCATGTATGCTGGGATAAGGCTGAGGAAGATAAGCGCCCCAATGTGGAAAAGATAAGAGTGTGAATATCTGCCATAAAACCCTCAAGGGAATGGTGGAGAGCTTCAGAAAGGAGGTGAATGGAAGAAAGATAACAGGGGACAGTGGTGAGTGTAAGCTTAAGACAGGAAAACTGGGCTGATAAAATCTTAAGGTAATCCCTAGATCAGATCCCCATGTTTGAATCAAAGACTCCAAGGTCTGAAAGTCCAAATAGGGAAAATCCAACCTATGATAGACCAATGCATAAGAGTCAAATAATGTGTAGGACAAGGCATGCTGACACCCGAACATAATTGGGCTCCAAACTGATCAGCATGAACTTGAATATCAAGAAAGGGGAGCACTAAATAACCCAACAAAGGTGCAGAATAAAGGAGGGAGGGGGAAGAATCAAATTGACAAAGGATAACATACTCGGGAAATCATTTCCAAAAAGGCAGATAAAGAAAGAGGTAAATCCAAATGGGATTGCACTCAAATGAAGGAGGTGGGAACAGGTTGTCTAAATCCTCATTGTCCTGGACCAATTCACCCAGGAACAGGATATCAGGCTGTGTTTCTTGAGGCATAGCAGACAGCATGAGAGTTTCCAATGCAAGACATAACATGGCCGAGAAGTGACATTAAAGTGAGTGTTCATAAGAAATGAAAAAAAAATATTCACAAAAAAACTGAGAAGCAGAAATGAAATGAACTAGTCAAACACAATAAAGTTAACTGTGAAATTGCACATGAAAATGAAGAAAATTGTAGAGTAAAATTAAAACATGACTGCACACTAGAATGACAAATCAAATGTGATGAAAATATTCTACAGTATAGAGGGAGTCAGCTGTGCTAGGAGGGTGTGTCACACTCCTATTGGTGGAGGGTTGTCACATGCTTACTTGCATACTACAGTGCAGCTATACCACATGTAAACACATGAGGGTAAGTGGGAATATCAAATCTAGTGGCAAGTGCAAATTGCACATATAGAGTACAGCACAAATCAATAAAAGCTATTTTGTGAGAGAGGTAAGGTATTCTTTCGGAATTAGAATTTCTGATTATTATTGTTCTTGATTGTTCTATTCAATTATCAAAATAATGTCATTACAGTTTTTCACTATATCAGCTATACAAGTAATTGAAATGTTGCCATTATGTTTGTTTGTTTGTTGCCACAATGGATTGTTGTGCTCTACCCACAATGGATATCAAAACCTGACTTGTAGCATTACAGGTTTTTTTAATCAACACAAGTGAGAATACTCAATGTTGTTTTTTTAGCCATCTCATAAGAATAATTGATTAGTTGAGTGTAATTGACTAATGAGACCAATGATTAATTGATTAGCATATTCCACTAATTGTCCAGCTCTAATAATAATAATAATTACAGTTGATAATAAAAAGTCTTCTATGACCACTATACCCTAGGTCATCAGTTTGGTACCCTTGGTGTTAGCTAGAAACATGCAAATATAGTGGGTTATCACAAACTGTGGACTCAGTAGAAACAGCAATAGAAAAAGTATAACACATGTATCCCATTACTGCTTGATTCCAATTGTATGAGATGTGGGTATTTTTTTATAGACTTAAGCCAACCATTTCAACAAGAGACAGAATAATAAAAACTTCAAGTGCATCCAAAGAGACCAGGTTTTCCTTATGGCTTACATATATCTCACTTTTTATCCCAATTTTGATGTCTTGAAATA